AGCACACCGTGGAGTCACCATGCCCTCTGTCTGCCCCACCCCCTTTAGTATCTCTAACGCTTACCCCCTCCCTGCCCCCTCCTCTCCACGTAGCCGATGCAGCACCCCCTCCCTGCCCCCTGGGATTCCACATAGCCGGTGCAGCACACCGCGGTGTCCCCATGTGTTCTGCGCTACCACCCACGCGTCACCATGCCTTCTGTCCGCCCCACACCTCTTTTGTCTCCCTTCCTGGGGTCGGCGGCACTGGGCGGCAGCCCTTAAATAACGGATTTGCTGAAACAACTTGGTTGTGGTTCACATGTTCTGTTTCAAGCGGGGATTGTTATTTCTCCAATTTCATCACTCTCACCCACCTTCCTCTACACAGGAGCTGACCATCTCCAGCCTTCCCCGGGTGACACCATCTGAGCAGCCCCGCAAGCCGAGCCAAGTTCCGTAGCTGTCGCTTGCTAGCACGCGGCACGTGGCCCAAGGGTGACACAGAGGCAAAAGTGTGGAGGTCAAAGAAGAGCACCTGAGATCCACGTCAGCTGTGGCTCCAGGCTACCTTACAACGATAGGATTGTACAAAATCCTGCAGCATCTGGATTCTTGACAATTGTATAAATTGACCCCAACCAGCAAGGTAGGGCCCGTGCCAACATGTGCGAAACGTTGAAGCACGAAATCCTCAGCTCTTGTGTGTGTGTGTGTGTCGTGTGCAGCACTGCTGCTTGAACTTATTGGAGCATCATAATCAACTCTCAATAGTCCAATCAACCAGTGACAATCCCACAGGAAAATCCAAGGCCGTAATGGCCCAACTTCCCACGTATTGCTCTGTTCCACAAACATTCAGCTTGGCACTGTACCAAGTACGGCTACTCTGCTGATGGTTGAAGTTGAAGCAACTCACTTGCAACACAGGCACGCAAACAAGTAAAAAGAGGCAGAGTGCGAAGCCTCCTGGACCTCAAAGTTGCAGCGCATTTGGAGGATATGCCCGCTACTCATTCCGCACCCTCAGGACAATGTTCTTTCCGGTTCTTTCAACACTCCGCAGCTCCAACCAGCTCATATATGATATACTGTATATGCTTTAATGTCCATTGAAGGCCTGCATGGCCATTGGGTCTGATTCATCTCGGCAGCATGCAAAGTTTCCATCACTTTCCCGAGCTTGGCACCATTCTTCTGAATTCCTTGGACTGGGCACAGCTTGTGGCTAGCATCAACTGCTTGAACCTCCTGCCACTGATGCAAGCCTTGACACTTGTCAGGGCATCGATCAATGGTTCCCACAGTGGCCACAGGTTGCCATCCTCACCGACCCAAATCCATTCTAATATCATGATAGCACTGGTGCAGGCAAAACTCGGTCGGATGGTGCGTGGCCAGAGCAACCTTGGCTGGTCGAAACAATGTTTGGACAACTATTGCAGGTGAAGAAAATCCTTGGTGTGGCCAAAGCAAAGGCATAGCGTTTGCCCTATCTCAACCCTAAGAGCTGCAATCAGGTCTTGACATTTGGCCCAGCTGGCCCAACAAACACCAAATTGATTGATTCCCCACGTCGATTGTTCCCCATCGCTATGCATGTTGTTTTGATGGTGATGCTCCTGCTGATGCAAGCAGGTTTAACCATTGAGCAAAGTCCTATTGAAGGAACTGACATGCGCAACAGAAAACTTGCCACATTGCCAGCCAGGCGCTAGCTGCTCCAAAGGCCAACTTCCAGTTCTTACGTCGGTTGAAGGGTCCGTCCCCTGAAAGCCCAGCTTCTTCCATCCTTAGAGGATCTTTTGGTAGCACAATCTGGCACAAGTAGCTGCGGTAAAGTTATGTTCCTGAAGCATGCCCGTGCAGCTTTGAGTATGATGCGATCACGGGAAACCCATTCAAATACATAAGGTGTAGCACGCCACCGAAGTCGCGCATGGTCTCCAATTACCTACCTGGCCTGAAAAAGTAATGTGCCCTGACAACCTCAAGTGGTGCCCGAGGAGGGCGACAATGCCGAGGTGCCCTGACCCTTCTCAAAGAGATCAAGCTTCTCATCCGGGAAAGCCGTATTCCAAAGCAACAAGACCTACGTCATGACGAGCATTGACGAGCTCTGAGAGCTATGGCTATGACTGTACACTTGGCTAGTAATGCTAGTAATGCTCTCATTGACGGATCTGGAAGTTAGGATGTTGTCTTGTACTCTGCTCAACTCGGTGCGATCTCCATGGCCCAAGGCCTAAGGCAAACGTAGCCTATGCACCCCAAGAATCAAAGGCCTGCTGGCAAACAATGTGAACCGATGATCAAAGGCCTGCTTCTGCAGCTCAGCATCCTCGGGCTTTGGGTTGTTGACGACCTTGAGAGGCAAACATGTGCACTTAGACATGGCACTGAAGAATGGAAGCTCTCGTGGCTTCATATTGCAATGTTTTTCATGAGTCGTTTTCACCCTACATGAGTATATAATGTTGGATAACATCCTTCCCGCCTCACCCAACCACCGATATCCGAGCCTGGCGCCGCATGTGCCACACCTGCGGTGCACTTGATTCAGTTGACAGTTGAACAGCCGCATCTCTGCCCTTATAAAAGTTGCAAAGGGCCTGAAAGGGCACAACGTTTGGGGCATATGCTTAGTTAAGTTAGCTGTCTGAACCTAGAGCTCTTAGTTCTCCTCACAATTCCTAACCGCTGTGATTGCGCTCTGCTGGCGGTCATTTGTGTACAGCCATCACACACTTTTCAATCATGCTGCCGCGGCACGGCATCTCTCTCCTCTTCAGTGAGCAAAGTCACATAGCGTGGCCCAAGGCAAACGATGCAGCGATCACAGAAGGACTTTTGGTCCTGGTGAATGGCGACTCGGCACAAAGCGATCAGAACAACCTGCCATGGGAACGCAATCTTCTACTCTTGGCGTGCCAAACGATGTAAGCACAGAACGATAAACAATAGAAGCATCCATTTCGAGAAGCATCCGCATTGTCCCTCCTCGATGTGGGGCTGCTCATCCGTCCGGCCCTCTTCCTGGACTGCAGCTGTGTATCTTCAGAAACCTCTTGTCAATATATACTGTAACTCTATATACCAGTAGTTGCTGGTGGCCGTGAACTTGGAGCGACATGGCAAAGCGTCGTCGCACGAATTTGGGCAACATGTGTCGCAAAGAATCCAAGTATATACCAGCGCGGCAAACTCGCAAGTTCACCTCTGAGGTCCTTCTAGCGTTGGCTCTTCCGCACTCCTCCCTTTCCAGCACCCCACTCCAAAACCGAGGCACCATCAGCCTTTCCTGTTCCATGATGGCTGGAGCCACACAGGCCGCTGCGAGCCAGAAATGGCTAGTTTCAGTGATTCTGATGTGATGTGTTTTTCCTTCAAGCGCATGTAACATATTGTAAAATCATCTACACATGACCACCCTGAGCTGCATGCACAAAGAGGGTAGGTCATGGTAGATCACTGAGTTATTGGCCTAAGTCTAAGTAATTTCCTGAACCCTCTCGGCTGCCAGGCTTGATGCTGCTCCTTGGCCTCCTTGACCTTCCGGGGCTTTCTCTTGCTCTTGGGGGAATGCTCCACCTGACCAGTCAAACAAGGCTGAGCGACTGGCCCGGGCCAACACGCCCACAAACGCTGCACAGCAGTCTTCGATTCCGATTGGTTCTGCAATGTGTCATCAATCACTGGTTCAAGCTGATTCTCAACCTTGCCAACATTCCAAGTGCCTTGGTCTCCACCGGGCTGGACACCCAGTCATCTGGCACCTGATAGGCCAGCCGCTATCCGATTCATGCAGTACCATGGCAATTCAACACGCTGCCACACAGGCTGCTGTCTACCCTGTGTCTCTCCAAGTTGAGTCCTTTTCCTGCAACTGCAGCACTGGCTAGCAACTGCTCGGGCGTTGACTTTACGCAACCATCTATATTTGGGCACTTGACAGCACACTGACAAACTCTTGCGACTTACAGCGCCCCTGAATCGGGCTACCTGTTATAGTAACTGTCTCAAGGCCGCTGGCACATTGACTGGGAAGAGGCTGGAGGGGGTACTCCCTCTTCGTCAGCCCTGCATAGTCGAAAGGGCTCCTCTCTTCAGGGAGCCGATGACCTATGGATATCTATGGACATTTTGAGAAAAATCATTGAGACTGCAGAGTCGAAACTCCAATGAGACATTGCGACACTGGTGTGGCAGTCCCCTGTCTCAGGCGCATCACTGCACTTGATGAGCTGCGTGAGGCCCTTCAAACCTGATGCGCATCAACTAATTTAACCTTAACCAGCCTAGACGTGCCTAGACTCTTTCCATCAAACGCGCTCTTTTGCAAGACTATGTACCAAACATTTGGAAATGATGAATGGTAGAGAAGGAACGCTTCACTCGTGGAGATTCCGAGTGTGGAGGATGGTCTGGCTGTTGACGAAGTCGTTGATGAGCGGGTGATGTTGTGTTCGATAAGGCCCTTTTTCAAGTCATCCAACTCCTCTTGAAGCTTGTCGCCCTGATCCAGGAAGAGACTTGAAGATTAACAAGCAAGGAGCAACAAGAGCACCTGGCTGGGCTGGTATGAGTTTGCAAAGCCGGCTGGCTGAACCACTCACGTTGGCAAACATTCACAAAGCCAGACATCAAAATGAGGGATTGCATTCTCTGTCACTGGCCTCCTTCTTGAGGTCAGATATCTTGTGCTCCTCTTGGAAATAAGCAACTAAGGCTATCAGCACAAAAGCAATCACTAGGACTATCCGTATCCTCCGATCACCTTAGATACCAGGGTTTCTCGGTCCCCTTTCCAGCGGCAAACTGAAGGGCGTCATGCTCTAGCGTACAGCCATTTAAGTACAGTAGTACTCAAGCAGGACAGCCAAGTGGGACCGCATGCTGCTTTGCCATGCGGCCCTTTGCAGAAAAGTCTGGGAAATGCTTCTCTTTCGAAGCCCATCAAATTCATCAATCAATCAAGAGCAAATACCTGCAGCTGTGACACGCCGTTCCCGCGACACCATCTCGGCTCGCAGCTGCTGGCATTCTGCATGCCACTCAGAGGCAGAAGTCTGGAGGGACTGCGTGCTCTTGGCTTTGCTTACAAACTACTATACTACATTCCAGTGACTCAGGACTTGTCGGAGGTAGTCAAAAAAAAAGTGAACCCTAAGTCATCAGGAAAAAGCTTGAAAATTACCTAGGGGTTCAAGTCCTATGTCATCAGGCGCCGCTCTAGGAATTTTGGCCAAATCCATCATGTGAGAGGTGATCAGAGGTGATCATAGGCGATGCTGGAAAATAAGGTGTTTGGGGATGAAGGCCACATGAGTTAGGAGTTGAGGGAGCAAATGACATAGGACGCACTTCGGATATTGAACGATTAACTAGTCCTAAGTCAAGGGTGAATTTAGAATGCTGCTCATGAGTCGCCTGGATCCGGCCGAAGCCATTTGAGCTATCTAGTGACGCTGCGTGGTTGCCGTTGCTGCTGATCTACCCATGAAGGAGTGGCAAAAAGGAATCGGAAGTCTAGGCGATTCCCTCTATCCCACTCTCTTGAACATCGCAGGAGTGTCCTGCTGGGGTGCAAGGACAAACGCAGGTGCAATATGCAGGGTGTTGAGGACTCTATAGTCTCTTGTTTCACTTTTTGCAGGTGACGAATGCAGTTGGATCGGTGGCAACCCATCATGAGGCCAGGAAAAGAGTAAGCAAACACATGAGCGTAATACACATATTCACATTTGTGCGAGGAATCATCCAGCAGCCAGCCTTCACCTTCAAAGGACACTGGGGCAGACCACTGGGCACTAGTCCTAAGTCATGTGCTGAAATGCCTTTGAAGGAAATCCATGCTGGGGTGCGTGGAGACAATATACCGGAGGCAGTGACTGTGTAGCTTTTGTACGTGGCGTTTGAAGTTCACTTGACACATCAGATGGCAGGTGAAGGCAAAGAAACGGAAACTTCCAGCCACATTTGTGACACAGGAGTTGTGATTTGTTTTTTGCAACATGTTCTTGTTGTCTTTGAGCAAGCTGCCTGTGTGACCAGGAGAAGAAGGTAGATGATGACATTGATGATGCCAACAATGCGAATCGCCCACAGGAGAAGCAGTGCTCAAATATATAAGGTAAAGCAAAACCACTATTTTGTATATAGAATTATTATATGTATATACTTATGTATGTATACCCCCTAACCCATGAAAGAGCAAACTGAGTGTGATTGGACTGATCTATAGTTTGCTCAGAATTGGAAACACACACACATATGAACATGCTGGTTCTTTGCCATGGAAAGGAGCTGGGCCGTGAGAAGGATATGGAATCGTCCATTGGTAGTGGTAGCCCTCCCGTGCAGCAGGAGTTCAGATTGGGAGATTGGACAAATATATATATATATATATGCTGCATTCCTGTTTAGTGAAAGAAGCAGAAAGAGACAAGCAAAGAGAGAAAGTGAGAAAGAGAGAGAGAGATAACACTAGAAGAACCTAGCGGCCGCTTTTGCAACCGCAAAGGGACTGTGGCTCAGGCGGAAGCGCGGGCATGTCAAGACTCCTTTCAAGTATACTACCCACCAGTGACCCAGGACTTGTCGGAGGTAGGCTCAAGACATCTCAAGACGCAAGTCGGTGTAGTTATGGCCGCTGCTGATGGCTCTTCGAGTGATGATGGCTCTTCGAGTGAGTGGGAAATGCTCAGTGAATCCACGGAGAAGTCGGAGAAGCGTGTTACTGAGGTCATGGCTGTGAAACGAGCCGTGAAGAAAGAAGAACGTTCTTGCAAGAAGTTGCTTCCACTGAAGTCTATGCCCAGTCTGACATGGAGATCCACCCCACGGCTGAAATCACAATTTGTGGATGAACTCACTGCCGCGCACTACCGGCATTTGATGTATGTGGAGCGATGCCAAAAGACGGGGATTAAGCCTATTCCTCTCCGACACTTTTGCTTCGAGATCCTTTGTCAATCAGGATGGATCGTTCAGAAGGGAAAGTTCACATTGTCCACTTCAATGACTTCAGGATGATTACGCTTGGATGTAAAACTGAGTCTGGCCAGTCCATGGTACAATGTTTATATATATACCAATTCACCTGGATCTGCAAACCATTGTCCAGGGTGTTGGCAAATTTGTTTTCTGTGGTCATACTTGGTCACTTTGCACACAAATTCACGTAGATGATGATCGCAGCTTCGTGTTTGCCAAAAATGCAGTTGTGGTGACCATCCGCATTGATAGAGTTGCGATTCGTTTTACATGGGGGAAGTCCTAGGTCATGTCTCCTGGCAGAGGGACTGAGGTATGGAAAGTCATGATGAACATGTTTTGTAATCTAGCAGGATCCTGATTCAGACAAGAGTGAGGCCTTCCTTCAAACAATAATGAATGGTTTCTACTCTTTTGCTGACAACCAGCCACTCCTAACTCATGTCGCCAGTGGCAGGAGCTTCGGGACGACAAGAGCCCGGACGGTGGTAGTCCTGAAGAACTGCAGACACCACAGGAGAACATATTGGGAGAGTGTGTTCTTGACACTTCTACCGTCTTTTAAACTTTTTGGGATTACCGTGAGCAAAAAAATAGATTGAGCCTTTTATTTTTCAGTCCACAAGTCCTATGTCATGGTGCCAGTGGCAGGACCCTCAGGAGAACAAGAGCCCGGACGGTGGTAGTCCTCAAGACTTGCAGACACCACAGGAGATCACATTGGGAGATTGCATTCTTTTGGTGAATAGACATATATATATATGATTCCGATGATTTGGAGCTTCTTTGAGAAACCGGTTTCTTTAGGAGCCTCTTGCTACTCCAACCACCTTGCAGGAGATGAAAAGATGTGTCCATTTGCTGATGTTTTTGTTTATATATTCAACGTCTGTTTATGTCTCTTGTCAAATGTTCATTGTTCAGCAAGCAAATTGTGTCCTTCATGTTCAGCCCACACGTCCTAGCTCATGTCGCCCGTGGCAGGAGCATCGGGAGAACACGAGCCTGGACGGTGTAGTCATCCTCAGGAATCGCAGAATCCAAAGGAGCTCCCATTGGGAAACTGTGTATTCTTGACACTTCTACAGTCTTTTCTGTTTTTGGATTACCGTATTTAAACTGAGCCTTTCATTATCAGTCCACAAGTCCTAAGTCATGGTGCAGGAGCCTCAGGAGAACAAGACCCCGGACGGTGGCAG